AGAGAAGTGAACTTGGGGTGGGTCAGAATTTGATGAGAATAAAAATTCAATAAAGGAAAATCAAAAACAACCAGCGAGAGCTATGCTGTTTTCAATTGAGAAAATTTTAAAATGTAATATTTTATTTAGAAAAAACAATTTTAGATATGCCTTATTTTCAGACAACCCTCAAATGATAAAGATTAAATTCACAAATCATCTTCAAAGACTTCTGATACATTACGCATTATTTCCAGTTGTATTTGTTTTCTACATATGGTCTAAAACAAAAGGTGTAACCTTAAACCTGGTGAATAATATTATCTTACTAGTTATTTGACTGGCATTGCGATTGGGAGTATGGACTGGGACCAGTTTTCTTGACTTTAGCATTAACTGCCCATTACAAGCTACATGACTTTTTAAAAAATCAGCTTGATCTACTTTTTAAAATCTTTTAATAGATGAAAATTTGTATCAGCATGTTTGGAATCTGAGTACTCCCCAAATGGAAATATGTATAAAAGTTACATTAAAAAAAAAAACATGAAATGTTTACCCTGGAATTTTCTACTAATTGTGTACTGAATTAAGTTAGAAACATGAGAATAAAAAAACACTTTAGTGTCTTATACCCTGTAGCCCACTTTTAATATTGCCATTATAAGAAATAGCCAAACTAAAATGTGAACATTAAAAATTATGTTGTGTTTATTTGGCGTACATAGCAAAATTTTATCTCTTGTTTAGGTTCCAGTTATATGTTTAATTTCCATCTTATTTGTATACTTACTTGGCATTTATTATATATATATATATATAATATATATATAATATATATATATAATATTTATTATATATATATATATATTTTAATGATGTTGTAGATTAAATCCAGAGCCTCACACATGGTAGGTAAGTGGTTTATCACTGAGCTACATTCCAGCTTGATTTATTATATTTATATTAAATTAACTTTTATCTCTTCAATTGTTTTCTGTTAGTAAATCAATATAAGTTCTAAAGTGTTTATTTCACTGTTCTTTCCCTTCACTCCTTGAGTTTATCAGATAGAATTGTATTATAAGAAATTAATATTTAATGATTGTAAAGAAATGTTTGTAACTTCATTTGACATCTGTATCAGATTGGACTTATTTAGTTATTTTATTTGAAAAAAGTCTTAGTGACCACTACAATTCTTGTATATGGTACATTCCTTATTGAGCATTTTAAACAATTGATAAGCATTATTCAGTGGCATATGGTCTGTGTCTGTCAGGCTTTGAAAAAGAATACAGAATTCTGATAATGAGGATTCTGTGAAAATGGGAAAACCAGCACAACAGATATGCTTTGAGAAAGTATGGGTTTTAGCATCTTGAAACAATATATCACACTCAAAGGGACAGAACTGGGCTGCACAATCTGTTAGCTCATTCTTGTCCAATCTGGTCTCCTCCTTTCTTTTGGAGCCAGCATTGTCATCAACTTTCTGAATTATATTCTGACTGGAATGTATTTTAGGCACAGAGTAATGTATCTACTTAAATGGAATCCTATCTTTTTCAAAAGCTTTTTTCATATAATAAATTTGAAATATAAAAAAAATTATTAAGTTAAAGTAAATGGTTCAACAGTTTACATGTGTGCCTCCTCCCCCACCACCCTAAAAAAAGACCACTCCTTGAAAGAACATAGATCTTTTTTTCTTTTATGTACACTATTGGATTATTTTTTGCTTTAACAGTCTAATAGTCATGCGTATTTCAAAGGCTGTTTTGGAGTAGGGGGAATACCTATAACAACAAATATTTGTTGAAAACAAATGAACTGTGGAATTAAAATGAAGTATTTTTATTATTGTGATTTTCTTAATTTTATAGCACCCCTTCTTAAGAATTAAGGCTTAATATAGACTATTAACGCAGAGATGCAATAATTCAGTATGTTTGCTGTCTATCTAGAAAGGTACCACGTAGTCTCAGAAAATTTATGTGTTTACCCAAATTATTTTTAAAGGAGCTTAAACTTATTGAATCAAAGTTGAGAAAATCTACACTATAGTATTTAAGGTTACTAACACTTAATTTGAAACATAGTGAATTGTGTAAATGAATTGGTTATATTAGAATTATAGTCCTTTGTATAAAAAATTAAATGTGATGATCATTTTCAAGTGAACAGGACAATGCCAGAAAAAAGTGCTCAGTAAATAATATCTATTACCATATTTCAAGCTTTAATTACCTGAAAAGATAGCTTGCATTATGACATTTGATCAAGATGAAATATAGTAATACATATATATATATGATTTACTAAAATATATTTTACCATATCTCTTAGAATTTTATGTTCAATGATTGAATAACAACTGTATGTATTTTGTATGAATACTTCAGATTCATCCACAGAAACCATGTTACGAATGAAGTTTTTTTGTTTTTGTTTTTGAGGGGGTTGCAGTTGTCCTCGAAGATTTTAAAACTTTCCTGATTCAAAGGGCAGATAGTTCTTCTTAATGCATTGATTTATGTGAGGATGGGAGAGAGAAGCAGCTAGCTTTCCCTGCCACAGGAGGCAGGATGTTGTTGAAATGAGTCCTCTTGACGTAGGTTTCTTTTGCTTTACTATAGCAATTGGTATGTTACTTTCTAGATATGATTGACGTTGCCACGAGACACCATAAATTACATAAATTATATGTATTTGAGTTATGAAACTGTAAGTAATTTTCAAAGCAGGAACATCAAAGAATTAGTTTCCAGTAGTTTTAATTGGAGATATTTTGTGTGGTGAACTGTTTAGGAGAAAAAAGTAGTAAACTGTCACTTGATGACAGCTAACATAATTTATGAGATGAGACAAGCACTTTTCTCTATAGTATGCATTTGTAGACCGCTTACATATCTTGTACTGATTTTAAGGAAAGTAAATTTCTGTTTAATATATTTGCATATTTCTGCTTAACAGTTCAGAAAGTAAAGAATGCAGGCATATCAAGTGGCCATAGTGTATTGTGAAGTAAAATGAACTTATACACTGTATTTAACTCAATGAAAGTTGTTAAGTAACGTTTCTGAGATTATATGTGTGTGTGTGTAAATATATATATATATATTATAGAGAGAGAGAGATCCTTAAAGTGTCACCTGCCCTGTTCAGTGCTTTTTTCTGTTAGTCTATGTTTCTAGTACATAATATAGTTAACATTCATTTTGCAGAATCAGTAGATGTTTGTAGCATATCTTGATCATTTTAAATCTATTTACTTTTCCCCCTGTTGTCTCTCTTCCCTGTGCAGTGCTTTTTATACACTAAATATTGATATTGAGCCAAACCTCCACCTCCCTAATTTGTGGATTACTAGTGTAATCCCCTCACGTTAAGAACAATTAAAGTTCAGAAGGGTTTTTTTTTTATTGTTGAAAATAAAAATCTTATGCAAACATTTGAAGTGTTTCATTATGTAGATAATTAGATCTTTTTAAAAACTACACTGCTGCAACCAGCTAAATTTTCTTTAAGATTTTTAATGCTATTTATTATTTTATACACAGCCAGGAGGGCAAATGTATTGCAGGAATATTTGTACATAATGGAGGTTGTAAATAAAGGAAGAAAGGACAAGTGAGAGCCAAAGACGATGTTAGTTTTTCAGACTTCTAGCTGCAGTACATCAAACTCATACATGTCCTTATTACCAAATTCTTCATTCACACCTGAGTACTGTTGGAAAGTGATGATAAAGTTATATAGATAATGAACAGATGTCATCCTTTTAAATTCTATTTATTTTCAAGTCACTGCATTTCCACATGACTCCCCTCATGGAGAGCTTCATAAAAACCTTCCTGTGCTGCACCTTATAGCATATTCTGCTTTAGGAACAAGTAATGATTTGTCATTGAACAAATCTGTTCAACAGTTGTTTCTAAGGGGTAAATTTGGTGAGAAAGTAAGATTTGCTGCTTCTTGCCATGAACTTTATGTTGGCTGAGTATTTACCATGTGGAATTGAAAGCGATAGAATATTCAGGCAATATTTTTAAAGTGTTACTTTCAAAAACTATTGTCAGTTTAGTGAGCTAAACTGAGGCTAGGAAAGAAATTTTTCAAATGCAAAAAACCTTGAATTATAAAAATTTTTGAGTGTAATTAACTAGTTAATATTTATAAGTGGGGTAAGGAGCTATATGTCAGCCAATAATTGATTAATTATTAAGAAAACTAAATTTTGGTCTTCACCATAATTTCTGTATAAAAATTAGTTACATGTATATTTAAATGATAAAAAATGAAACTATAACATAATTGAAGAAATAGTAGATGAGTATGATAGCATTTTTATGGCATGTTTTTGAGGGAAATTTTCTAAGCAATTAAGCATAAACATAAATTCAAAGCATAGGAGAAACATTTAAAACTTTAGGGCCATAAAGTTTAAAAAGAGTAAAAAGTACCCTATAAAAATATTGGATAAAAATAGTTATAGCATATTATAGTCAAGTAATTCACAGCTTCATTGTGTGTGTGTGTGTGTGTGTGTGTGTATGTGTGTGTGTGTATATATATATATATATATATATATATATATATACAGAGAGAGAGAGAGAGAGAGAGAACCACAAGCCAGTAAGAAATTTAGAAAAAGCTATCCCATTCACTTACAAAGTGAAAAAGTAATTTACAAAAGAAGAGAGCCAATAGACATGAAACATGTTCACCTGTATTATTCATCAAAGAAATGAGGACTAAGCAAACATACACCAATTTCATTTTTTGTGAGTTTAGTAGCATGGTGACTATTTATAGTTGTGTGGTTTCCTGGAAAGCTTTTGCATAAGTGTGTTATTAAAATATATGTACACCCTTTTACCAATGTCTAAATTTACATGAAAGCCCAATAGCTTCTACTATTACAGGGCTTTAGGGAAGATTTTAAATATATATGTCAGATTTATTACATTCATTTTAACTAATACACCACATCTTGTAATTATGTTTTCTGTTTGCAGATGGAGAACATCATTGGGACAGTAAAAGATTCCAACCTAAAGCTGACACTTGCTTTTGGAATAGGGATGCACCATGCTGGGCTCCATGAAAGGGACCGAAAAACGGTCGAGGAACTGTTCGTGCACTGTAAAGTTCAGGTACTTTTTTTCTGCTTCATTCACTTACTTAAATGCAACTTAGTATTTTACATAGATTTAAGATGTGATTTTTTATTTTTTAGGTTCTTATTGCTACAAGCACATTAGCCTGGGGTGTGAACTTTCCAGCTCACTTAGTAATTATTAAGGGAACAGAATATTATGATGGAAAAACAAGACGTTATGTGGATTTTCCCATTACGGGTAAATTTGTTTTATTTTAATTATGAGTATGGTCTCAAGTCACATCCATTTACTTATAAAAGCCTCAGTGTCATCTTTCTTTATACCTGAGTAGTATTCCATTGTATTAAAATACCAAATCTTTTTTATCCATTCCTCAGCCGATGGGCATTTGAGTTGTTTCCAAGATTTAACTATTACAAATCGTGCTGCTATAAACATGAATGCACATATATCACTGTGGTATGATGTTTTCAGTTTTTCTGGGAATATGCCCAGAAGTGGAATAGCTAGGTCAAATGGGACTTCCAATCCCAACTTTTTGAGGAACCTCTACCCTGATTTCCACAGTGGTTGTACCAGTCTGCACTCCCACCAACAGTGCAGAAGAGTACCTTTTTCCCCACAGCCTCTCCAGCATTTGTTGTTGGTTTTCTTGATCCTAGCCATTCTTTCTGGAGATAGAATCTCAGTGTGGTTTTAATTTGTATTTCTCTAATGACTAATAATGTTGAACATTTTTTCATGTATTTATTTGCCATTTGTATTTCTTCATCTGAGAATTGTGTATTCATCTCAGATGCTCATTTTTGGATTGTTTTGGGGGCCTAATTTTTTAAATTCTTCATATGTTCTAGACAGAAGTCCTTTGTCTGAGGGATATTTGCCTAAGATTTTTTTCCAGTTTGTGGGTTCTCTTTTCACTCTGTGGAGATTTCTTTTGACATGCAAAAATTTTTTAATAAGATGAGATCCCAGTTGTTGATTCTGGGAAGTGTTTCCCATGAAGTTTGATTTTGTTCATGAATGCTCTGCCTACCCCTGTGTCTTCAAGATTTCTACCTACTTTATCTTCAGGGAGATTTATAGGTAGTGTTTTAAATTTTCAGAAATACATTGAGATGCTATTTTAGCCTTAATAATTTAAATTTATGTGGATTAGATTTTTGAGAATTGCTCACATTTAAACATACAATGAGAAAACTGAATTTTTTTCAGTGCAAATATTCTACAAAATATTGAGCTGCTTTATTTACTTTAACTTAGCCCTATTTGTTAATAAACATGAAAAACATAAATGATGATATGAATGACAATTATAGCAGCTATTGTATATTGTTATATTAATGAGTAGTAACTACTAGTTATGATATATTTTGAGCATTTCAGTGTTTCATTTTAAATGTCTTAATATAAATGCTACTTCCATGGAATTGCAGAGTTTATGTGCGTGTTACTACATATAATACATGACATTACGTAAAGATATTTTAAATATCATTAAAAGCATTCTTGCTGGGCTCAGAAGAAGAAAATATACTCAGTGTTTATTCCTACTCAATGAATACATGTAAAAGCTAAATCATTTTAAGTCATTATTTCCCTCATAGATTCCTGAATTATAGAAGGAAGAAATTTTATTCCCTGGATAGGAGAAACTAGGCCTAAATAGAACCACTATTCATGGAGAACAGTACTTTACTCTGCAGGAGATATTTTCCTGTATGTTTTATTTTTTATTTAATTAAAATGGTAATATCTATTAAACAACATTTTTAATTATTTAACTGAAAGAAACTTTTTATTCTTGTATGAATAATGTGAGATATTCTTTTGGATACTCAATTTTACTTCATAATGAGACTTTCTTAATTATAAATTTTCTGAGTAAATCAAATTAATTCAGGGTACTTAAGTGTAGTCAACACACTTAGCATAGGTGCTCTTAAAATGCTGTTCCCTTTGTGACTTTGTTGTAGAAAGAGACCCAGATCCATAATTATCTTTTGTGCTGTGTACTACAAAATTGCAGACTACCTCTGTCCTCTGTTTTATAGATGTGCTCCAGATGATGGGACGGGCTGGCAGGCCTCAGTTTGATGACCAAGGCAAAGCTGTAATTCTGGTTCATGATATAAAAAAAGACTTTTACAAAAAATTTCTTTATGAACCTTTCCCAGTGGAATCAAGGTAAATTTTAAATTACTATAAACTTGAATAATTTTGTAGCAAGTTGTTGGTATTCTGGTTATATTTTATTAAATAAAAATTAGTAAAACTTACAGCATGAAAAAATTATTTAATATGAAATGAAATTATTTCTGTAAATGAATATTCCATTATAGTTTTTGTTTTTGAAAAACAGTGGTTTAAAAGAGGCATTATAGTAGAGTGTTCAGTCGCATTGCACTGAAGCCTGATGACCTGTGTTGAAAAATGAACTCTGCCGAGAAAGGAGTTCAAGATCAGCCTAGCCTACACAGTCTCAATTGCATAATGAGCTTCTGTTTCACGCACACACACACACACACACACACACAGAGAAAATTGAATTAATTCAAAGTAAGCATATACTTAAAAAATTAATAATGCAACACATTGGTTCTTGGGAAAAGATGAACAAAATTGACAGATATTTATATCTGAGTATTAGGAATGAATGGATACTATTGATTACAAGAAGAAAATGGTATATGGTGCACAACTTTTAAATTTTGATCTAGTGGTAAGATTTCTTTTAAAAACATTGCTGGGCAGATGTGGTGGCACACACTTGTAATCCTAGTTATCAAAGAAGCTACAGCTGTGTGGTTAGTTTAGTGAGTTCCAATCTGAAAAAGAACTAGCCACAGATTTAGCTCAGTGGTATAAGTGCCTGCCTGGCAAGCGTGAAGTTGTGAGTTCAATCCCCAATACCAAAAAAAGAGAAAAAGAGCTGAGAGTGTTGCTCAGTGGTATAGTACCCCTTAGTTAAAGTTACAGTCTAGAAAACAAAAGGAGGTAAATGTTATTAAAACTGATTTAGTAACAAAATAATTAGTCTTATCTGTCAGAGCAGTTGAATCGGAAATTTATTCACAAGGAAATTTTCTGGCCCACATGCTTGTCCAGTGAATTCTTTGGAACCCTGGAAGTAGAAATAACCTCGCTATTTTTTTTTTTCAATACTGAGTATTGAAAAATGCTAAAGGCTTCATAATGATATATATCCCCATCCTTTTCTTTCTCTGCCCCTCCCCCCCCCCTTTATAATTTACTTAGATACAGGGTCTCACTATCACTATTTATCTAGGCTGGACTCAAACTTGTGATTCTCCTGTCTCAGCCTCCCAAATAACAACCTTAAACGAACCTCTTCCTAATAATAGAAAAGATAGAAAACACAGGAATACTTACCAACTCATTTTATGGGACATTATAACTTGGATGCCAAAATCTAGTAAGAAATTTATACAAAAAGGAATGTAACAAACCTCTTATGAATATGGATATAAAAATGTAAAGTAAAACATTAGTAAATAAAATTCACCAATGTATAAAAAGTAAATGTGCTGGGGATTTAGCTCAGCGGCATAAGCACCTGTGTTGCAAGCAGGCGGTTGTGAGTTCGATCCCTGGTACCGATAAAAAGAAAAAGTAAATGTGCTACCAAGTGCAATTTATTGCATAAAGGCAAAAATTATTTTCTGAAAATAAACATCCTTCATAATGTAATTTACATTAACATAAAAGTGAGGAAAATCAAATGATCATCTCATCTATGTAAAAAGGCATTTTACAAAATTCCACACCCATAAAACTCTTAGCAAACAGGAATATAATTGAATCTCCTTTATCTGGTAAAAGAATATCTACAAAAAAATCTACTAAGAACATCTTATCTCATGATGAAATATTGAAAGCTTTCCCTTGAGAAAGGGAGTGAAACAATGGTGTTGATTTTACCATTTCCAGTAAGCAAGTCTTCTGCAGGAGTCTCAATCCACTGTGTAGGCCAAGAAAAAAAATTGAGGTCAGTAAATTCCTTTCAACAAAGTACTGATTAGGAAAGTGCATGAAGAGGACACTTAGGGCATTGGCAATGCTGGACCTCGATATTAGCTGTACAGTGTGTATAATTGAGGTAATTTTTTTCTGGATATACTTCAGTAAACAGTAAATTTCTTAACTTTGTACCTTAATCTGATCATTCTTAATGTTCTTTTTAAAAGTATCTCATAGTTTTTTCATTCATTTCTTAATTAATTTGCATTTAGAGAATTTTTTAGTTTTCTCTAAAGTGTAATATTGCAAGGAAGCTTTTTGTTTTTCTAATCTCACAGGTAAATGCTTCTTTAGCAGGTCATAATGGAAAATTAAAATTGCTGGGTCATAGAGTGTACTGAAATAAATATTGGCAAGTTGCTGTCCATTTGCACTCTGCCCTGTGGAATGAGAGTTACGTGGCGACTTTGTTTCACATTCAGTTTATTGTGATCATTTCTCCTGTCTTTTGAAAAAAATTTTAATACATGCATATTATCCCTGTGTTACAGTTTATCTAGTCTTTTCTTTTGTTAGATATTGCTTCATTTTTTTGTATTTGAACTGAAATTTTTTTTGTAAAAACTAAAATTTTTATGTTTTTCAGTACATCTAATCATCTTTGTATACTCACAACATTAATAATGTCTTTTGTGTCCATACACTTAATCGTCGCTGAGTAAATGAAAGCATATCTTTGTTTACTTGTTTGTCCTATCATAACTTTCTTGCCAAGTGTCCTTTAATGTGTCTCCGTACTTACTCCATTGCTTTGTAAGAATATTATTTTCCTGTTCTTCAAGGTATCTCTCGTGTTGCTTGCTTCTACCCTGTTTCTTGACTGTGTATTTCTTTTGAAAGTTACTATCTTCATTCCTGTTTTTCTTATGTTTATTTTCCATGTAGCAATTGATTTTCCTAAAATTACTGAGAGCAGTAAGTACTGTTTGTTGAGTACTCATAGTATAACAGATACTAGTAATTATTTTGAAAAAATTATTACCGTATAACTTATTCTGAACAATATTGTTATATTTTTATGAGATTCTTTCTGACTGACCTAATTTTTATGCATGTTCAAATGAAAGCATGCTTTTTAAAAAAAAAAAAAGAAAACAACATAAATTTGTGTATACATTTAATTTAGCTAATATGTTTGAGAAAATATTTAAAATAAATTATTCACAAATCATACAATGTTACATAGAAAATATATAAATTATATGAAACATATCTGCTTTCTTCTTTCTTTCTTTTTTGTCTTTCTTTGTTTCTTTCTTTTGGCTTGTTTTGTTTTTCAGACAAGGTCTTGCTGTTTTGACATTAGGCTGGCCTTAAACTTAACTGCAGTTCTTCTGTCCCAGCCTGCTAAGTGGTAGAATTCCAGACGTGCACCCACCATGCCCTGCTCGTTTTGTGTCTATATTAGCTTTTCATTGCTGTGAGAAATACCGAGAATAACAGCTTTAAAGGGATAGATGCATTTTGGCTCACAGTGTCAGAGATTGCAGTTCATTTCCAGCTTGTTCTGTCATTTCTCAAGAGCCTATCAGATAGCAGCCAAACCTTCAGCACCAAGAGCCTTTTGAGAAACATCTTAGATTCCAACCATTACAGTATATTAGAACCTAAAATCTAAATCTTGACTACGTGAGGTAAATTTAAGTGTTTTGTTTAATGTTTTCTTCCCATGTCTTATTCACTATGTAGTTTATTAGGAGTGCTTTCTGACCACTTAAATGCAGAAATTGCTGGTGGTACAATAACATCTAAGCAAGACGCAATGGATTATATAACCTGGACTTATTTTTTCCGACGTCTTATCATGAACCCCAGGTAAGTTCAGTGTTTTTTTGAAGGATGAATCTTTGTTTTTCTAAAGAAGATATATATGAAAGTAATAAGCTGCAAATTCAAGGACATACACAAAGATCAGAACACTGGACATTCTGGATTTATAAATTGCCAAGAGAATCAGATAATATCTCTGATATAATCACAGTGTATTATGTTAGAAAATAATCAGTTTTGGTTCCTTTTTTACTTTTGCCTCCAGTAGCTTGAAGAGTTTGCTGATTAGTTGGAAGAAAATGCCTGAAGTCAAAAACATGTTAAACCACAAAGTAGTAACTGTTTTAGGTGCAATTCAAAGAACAGCCAGTCTTGTGAGGTTATCAGGGGAAGAATTTATGATGCATTTGTAAGATTTGGTAAGATCCTTGCAAGAGAAAATAAAATCGTGGTATGGTAGATTATCTTTTAGTCTTCACAGTATATCTTCACTTAGCACCTACAGTTTATTGTATCTTCTACTAAACACTTAGATACAGTACAAGAATGAGTACATACGTCTTTGTCAAGTGTTCATCTTTTAATGTGGGAAAAGCACATGTTAGGTGGTGTAACCCAAGCAAGCGATTTGGTAGAACTCTCATTTAAGTCCTCGTCATTGGTGACAGCTTTATCAGAGATGTGACACTAAATCCAAACGTTGACAAAGGAACTAGAGTAGGAAAGATGGAAAGTTTGCAAGCAAATAAACAAAAAAAAAAAATATATACTGTATAAACAAAAACTTTTCAGGGCTTGGAAAAATCTTCAGTCTTTTGAAAAGAAGAGAACGAGAGAGAGGAAAAAAAACAATTGAGGTAGCCATTGCTTATGGAGATGAGAAGATTGGCTTGACCAGAAAGTAGGCCAAGCACTAAGATAGGGCTTCTGACCTATGTGCCATGTGAGAAGTTTATATCTTGCGCTTTGGGAATCTGAATGGAATAAGCCACTGTAAGTTTTTAAACGTGGTTTAATATCACTAAATTGAGTTTTGCTTTGTTTTACTACCTACTGTTACAGGGAATCAGCTGAAATGAGAATACATTTACATCAGGAAGACTAGTTACGGAGTTATTTAATAATAGAGAAAACATCATTAGTTCCTTAAAAGATGCAGAGGGAGTAGAATAGGGTTGATTTTGAGAAACATTATTCATGTAACAGAAGATGTTAAACCATTGAACAGAGAAGTCATGATAAAAATATCAATAGTAAATGTTACTTGTTGATACCTAAGAAATTTCTTTTCAGCCAGGATTTCCCTTTCTTAGATAATAGTTTGATAACATGATGACTTTTTACCCAGAATTTCTTCAAGTTATGTGGCATCTTTAACAGATCCAAGATATCGTTTGTGCGCATGATTATAAAATTAATGAGATAGCCATGTAGAGCTACAGATTTGCCACAGTAAATAGATGAGGATTCAAACTGTGAAATAGACTTTTTTCACTTGCACTCTAATCCAGCCTTATTGTCCTGTGTTGAAGAAAAGAAGCTGTGTACTTATAGTAACTTGACACATATCTCATAAAGCCAGGATTTGGAATCACAACCCAGATTCTTATTTCAGCCCTACCCTTTATTATCTTTGTAAATTTCAGTCACTTCACTTTCCTGAGCTTCTCTTGCTTCCTCTGCCTCACCTAATGGGTCACACTGAGAACAAAATAAATTAATTAAAGCCATTATGTTTTGATACTATTTTGTAAATAACCTAATAGCAAGTAGTGGGCTGATACAGTGTTCTCCCTGTTCATTGCACCGCTGTTCTCTGTACCATTGTAAAGGGTGCTTTAAAAAAACAAAAAAAGAATAAAACTCACAACCCGGCACTTGCCAGGCAGGTGCTGTGCCGCTGAGCTATGTACTCCACCAAAGTATCCGTTTCAGAGGCTTAACAGCATAATCATTTCAGTCATCTTGTCTGATTAGCACATAAGAGTATAGTTCTCTGAAGCCAGTTGAATTCTTTAGCAAATTAAAGTTTCTTAGAAAATCCACAGAAACATTATCCTTTGTTTATTCCCCTTTCTGATTTTCTTTAATATGAGAAGAAAAATTGCAAAAATAACACAGAGATACTATTTGCCTTTTACTCAGCTTTTCCCTGTTAATATCTTATATAACCATAGTAGTTACCAAAATTAGGAAATTTATGTTTATAGAATAGTATTAACTGTGATTCTGATTTTCATTTACTGTCCTGGTAATGTTCCTTGTCTGTCCTGGATCCAATTTAGTATCTTGCATTGCATTTAATACTTTTGTCTCTTTAGTTCTCTCCAGTCTGACATTTCCTCAGTCTTTGTCTATCATAATCTTGGCTCTTTTGGAGAATAGTGGGCATTTATAAAAATCTCCTTCATTTAGATTTGGCTGAAGTTTCCTCATCACTACATTCAAATTACCCCATTTGAAAAGACTATTATAGAAGTGGCAATGATATTGAGTGAATAATATTGAAGCATTCTTCTCAAAAGGCCTCTTCTGTATTTAAAATACTACTTGACTGGTAAGTGAGAGACCCCAAAGTATGTTACTCCAATCTGCTCTCCATCAAGTTACATTTTAAATTCTCCACTCACCTTTTTGAATGACACCACACAGAATTCCCACCATCCCAAATTCACCATGTCTAAAACTGAATAAATCATCAAATTCTTGTAATCCAACTTTCTCACTTTGTTAATAGTATCTCTCTGCACTTATTTAGCTTGATTTTAAACTCCAAATTTGCTTTTTAATTTTTTCTCTCCCTTGCTTCCATTGTTCTCTAGCTGCTTACTCTGCTTTTAGTCTATCCTCCATCTAACCTGATTTGTTAATTGTCGGATAGTATTGATCAGAGATTGAATGTGTTATACAGGACAGGGAAGCCAGATAAGGATTAGTTTTCCTTAAACTCACATAATGGGTAGGAAACTGCCCAGCATTTATATTTGTTGTTTCAGTCTTGGAGGTTAGAAGAGCTTAGAGTTGGAGCCACTAGTCATTTAAAATAAAAGTCCCACAGAGGAAATTGGAGTACACATCAATCTCTGTTGCTCTGGTTACAAATGCCTTCTATTTAATAATGTTATGGTAGGAAAATCCACATGCAACTGTAGTAAACAGTGGTAATTAGGGTCAAACAATAACTTAGAAAAGGCTTAGCACAGTGGACAAAGGATGAAATTTTGAGGGAAGATTATAATGAAACTCTGATCGAGAAAATTTATTGAGTATTAGCAACTTACATGTCTGCTAGTCACTCTTGGTTTTAGCCTATGTGTGCCATATAAATGAATAAATATTCCTAAGTCTACCTGTGATGTGTGATGACTCTGTTTGCATTAGAGGACATTTGGAGAGGATGCTTCGTCTTACTGCGTGGCTTCAGGGCTCCTACTACTTGTAGCAGCAGTTTTTCCCGTGTTCGTGATGCTTCATAGGGGGTTAGTTTTCCTGCTCCTCCACCACTATTACCACCACTACTAGCAAAGGGGCTGGAAAAGATCAGAGAAGACCCTGACTCACCCTGTCTCTGGATGAGAGGCTTTTCTCACCTTTGTGCTTTCACCCTTCTGGCTGCAGTATCCTCCCGAGCCCTTAGCCGTTCAAACCCCAGCAGTCTTAAAAGTCTAGTCACATACTAATAAATGCAACAAGGTGAAAGTTTATCCGCTGTTGCCCATCCACTGCATGTGTTTTGATTGCCAGCTATACATATTTTTAAATGCCTAAGTTAAGACTAAACTGTAATTATTCTGAAGTAGAAACTTGTGCCCTATTGCCATGTGAGTTAATCAATCCAGAATACATACAGAGAAAAATTTGGCGGTTTAAAAAAGCTGTGATTAACAACCATTTAGTTCCTGTTGGGAGGTGGCAAGATAATAATGACCTCAAGCCTCAAAAACCATGAAGTCTTTTTAAAGCAGTAAGGTAAAAGCATTTAAAATCAAACTTACAGTTCTTAATTACATAAATATTTATTACCTACCATGTTCCACTCACTATTCTAGCCATTTTGAAGATGTAGTAATAAACTGAATAAAAAATCTTTGCTTTTCTGACACATTTTCTCAGCAATGATAGTGCATTGAAAAGAAATTAGAGAAGAATGAATGCTTTTTAAAAAATGAACAGTAAGGAAGATTAGGAGAGGCAGGAGATGGAGTGAGAGAGGTGAGGATTATAGGTGGAGCTCACTGAGAGAGGCCAACATTTGAACAAAGACTTTACAGAGGTGAGAAGGTTGGCCACATGAATACTTAGGGGTGCACACTTCAGGCCTAGAGCAGAAGTTCTAGGGCAGACATGCCTAGAGTATTCATGGAGGAAAGCAAAGATGTGAGTAAAGGGGGAGAATAGGAGATGAGATTAGGAATGCAGAAGGCTGATGGTAGTGCAAGTCATGTGGAGCCTTGTAGATAAAATTATAGTTCAGCTAAATTATATAGCAAGACTTAACGTATCTCAAAAAGTCAGTATGTCAAGACCAGTATATTATAAAAAATTAGCATAAAAATACCCTTGAATTATGTTTGTTCTCTTTTAAATTTTGGAATATTTGCATACACATAAAAAGATGGCTTAGGAATGGATCAACTCTAACTAAACACAAATTCATTTATATTTCTCATACAACTCATCCATACAGACCAATGAAAATTTTATGCAAAGTGTCACATGAGATCAAGTCTCAGATTTTCCTTTTGTAACATTAGGTTGTGGTTCAAAAATTTTCAGATTTTGGAACAGGTCAGAGACTGGTTTTCAGATTAAGTATGTTCACCCTGTAAAACCAAAAGTAAACATTAAAAAGAGTGCAAACAAAATCTAACTGTTTGAGATTTTAGAACTTTTACTCTGATGAAGAGTTATATCCAAATGAAAGATCCTACGGAACATAGTATTATACTATATTATCAATACACTGCAAGTAAAACCAAGGAATTCAAACCAATGCATAATTTTCCATGAAATATTTCTACTTTTATAGCCCTTTGAAGATGAGT